TATCCACTGCAATCATGGTTGTAGCACCTGAACGCCATTCCATCTTTGTTGCGGGTGTATGGCTTGCATACCATGTCAACAGAGCACGTTGGACATGCAACCACTCGCTTCAACACTCCTCTAACTCTGAGGAACTCCACGAGACCCGCAACAGGCCCATTCATAACAGGTTCCAGCACATTCTGGTAGTAGCTAAACATAAGGGTAAAAACCTACTAAATATAAAGGGTGGATTTTTACCTTAAAATTTCTAAGGTCCCTTTTTTTCCCCACGTGGGGAAAAAAAAGGACATGATCCTACTTTTTATAAATTTTCTCTCTCTCATCATCCAATAGTTTGATTTCTTTATTGTAGATCAGTATTTCATTCAGGAACAAGGCTATTCCTTCTTTCTTAGCGTGAATAAAACCATAATAGAGCCTTTTGATATCCTTTTCACACATTAGTGATTTGAAACATGCTATTTCACATATCCTGCGTCTGAGTATTAAGAAGGATGTGAATTCACATTTCTTTTTGAACTCTTTCCAATTACTTGTGTCATCCAATACCTGTTTATCCAAAAGGGCATCAAACTTCTCAATTAATTTCACCATATCTTTTATGTTATTGATTTTCTTATCCAATTCAATTATCTCGCGCTCTTTCCGTACAAGCTCATTCGTAATACACATCTTTTCTCTAGTTATCTTGTTTTTCTTTAGTCTTTGACGTGCTAAGCTTCTATATTTATATTTTAGTTCTAAATTAGTTAAACAGCGGTTGGTTCGGCATGGATTGGCCTGTTTAATTGGTGTAGTATTGATAAAATAAACCAATAATTGAATAATAAACATTATGGGTAAATTTTTAGGTAAACTATTTCTGTTCTACAACATATACCTTAATAATTTATCATATCAACCAGATATTTCATTTGGATTACTTGTAAAATATTTCACATTTGATTTTTCTTTGATTTTTGTGGTTATTTCACTATGATACTGTTTTAACTCCAACAACCTTTCTTTTTTTGCCTTAATCAGATCCCCACAATCCAATATCTCCTCAATAACATCTGATAATTCTTGATTCATCAAATTGTTGTCTGTTGCACTTGCCTTGAATTCCATAGTGAATTTAAGCACCATTTTACAATTATATTTTGCTTTTATCATGTTTTTCAGTCCTTGTACAATTTGCATATGTAAATTATTCCATTCTCTTAAGTACATTTTCATGGTTCCCTAAATCTTCTACCTCATTATCTACCATAATTTCCAGCTTATTTAACCTAACAAGCAGCTTCTCCAAGTCGTTTTCTCCCAACAACATATTATTTCTAGTTTGTAGACCCAATATGATTTCATATTTTCCCTGATATTCCATCCTTTTAAACACATCCAATTTTATCTTGTTGGCTATCTTGGCTCTTTTCAATGCATCATCTTCTTTAATCTGATTCTTTAACACTCGCATATGCTCGTCCAATTCATCTTCAATCATCTGTTGTAAATTTATTACACTGGTGAATATCACAGTTATCAATAAAACAATCATGGGTAAAATACATAAACTATTCAATTTTATTCCATTTCTCATATTCTTTTACCTCATCCTGTTTTCTAGAACTCTCTTTAAGCCACATTATCGTCTTTCTGCACCTTGGACACCTTTCATTCCTTACTGCACATCCCTTACAGAAATAATGCTGACATGATGACATCTCTGCCTCATTCAACAGCCCATTGCATTCTTCACACTTCAATCCATCTGGAATATTCTTATATTTTATCAAATTTTTCTGCTTTTTCCATTCTTGTATTCGTGGTTTCATTATTCTCAAATTCGCCTCACTTGCATTATTTTGCTGAATATTCTGTAAATTTGGACAGTGTTGGATGTAATGGCCCTTTTGGTTGCATTTGAAACACGTGTATGTCTCTGGTGGCACCCTACTGTACGAAATGAGCCTTTGTTTGAACTCCATATTATTCCTGTTGTTACTCATCCACAGTGGTATCTTTTCCACTATCAAATTAGCAAATCGGTCTATTTTGACGTATTCGTCTTCCAATTTCTCATCTGTCTCTGCATCGTAGAATACCAGGTCAAAGTCCTTGCTGTACATCCTTCTCTGGCTGATTATCTCATACTTCAGCTCCCAGAGACTCAATGATTCAGAATCAAAGAATATTTTGCTGTAGTTTTTGTATGATCTGAATCTGTAGTTTATTGAATAGGCCATTTTGGGGTGGAAAATAACCAGGTCATTTATTCTTCATTTTTATGATTTCAATCTTAAATTTGTCAATATCACTAACAATTTTACGCCTTGCTTTCATCAGAACACGTACTTTACTCTCCTTTTGCTGTATCTTTAGTTTGTTGTCATGTTTTTTCTGCTGTATTTCTCTTAACATTTCCCTTATCTCATTCAAAGTCTCATTCTTAGTCTGATTATACCTATTCAGTATCACAGTTAAATCCATTTCATCCTTAATAAACCTATATTCAGGTAAAAGTGTTAATACAAAGGTTGTTATGTCATAATCATTCAACAATCCGATATTATTTTCACCATTATTCTGCATTTCAATCACATCAGATAATACTCTGCCAAATGCGTCTATCACAAAGACCAGACTATTGAAATTGTCTTTTTTAGATTCCAAACCTCTTATTTCCGCCCTTGTGTTCTTAATTATTTCATTATTTCTTCTTATTTTTTGAGTTATTGATTTTTTCATTTTCTTGAAATCCTCTAGAAGATCATTCATCTCATTTACTGAACTTCCAGCATCTGATACTCCTTTAACCTGAGTGAAATCAGATCCAGCTATTTTATTCAGCATCATTACAATACAGCTAATCATGAACATCATTTGGGGTGCAATAATTTACTGATGGCTTCCAAGTTCTTCACGTATCCTTTTTTCTGTCTTTTGAAAGTACTTGAGTTCATCTTTTAACCTACTGGTTTTACTTACATTACGAAACAGTTTGTCCTTGTACTCTTCCAGTTGCTTACCCATTTCATCATATTTACTTTCTAACATCAATTTTTCTTCTTTGATTCTAGTAAAATCCCTGTTCAATACACAATGAAAGTGAGCTTCCACTGACAACAAATTATCGTGATTAAATACACATTCAAATCCAGGTATCTTCTCAATTATTTTCTTGGTTTCCACGTATGCATTATTTAAAATGGTTGTACACAATTCTGTGTTTTCTATTGCAATCAATGACTGCAATAACACTTTCATTAGGTTAAGTTTATCTACCCATACTTTATATCCTTCCATTTTCTCTTTCAACAAATCGCTGGACTCTTGTAACACAAACGCCTCTTGAACTATTTTTCCATGGGTTTCTTGTAGGGTGCTTAATTCAACATTTGTTGTTTCCTGTTTCTTTGTTAGATTTTTAAGTTCAATTGTTTTTCGAAAGATGTAGTTTCTGTTAGCATTCTTATATAGATGACTGTTTCCAGTTGCACATCCAATCGTTGATATCAGGTTCAATAACATGGGGGTAATAAAACATAATAATTTATAGCTGAGTTTAATTGATTTATCAATATGTTTGATTAGTGTTATTCCAATTTGGGTTCATCTAGTAATTCATTTCGTTCCTTCTTCTATTTATCTGTCGATGGAGATTCGTTACTCTTTATATCATAAAAACAATCCATCTCTTCCTTTTTCCTCCTCAACAAGATGAGTTCATTACTTCTCTGTTCCAACAACATTTCTAGATACTTTATATCAGCTTCAATCTCGTTCATTTTCCTACTTCTAACCTGATTATAGAAATCCAACTCTTTCTGTAAATCACCTGTTACAAACATACCTTCAAAGCCTGGTGTATTACTCAGCACATTTCTTATTATTAAATAACGCAATACAGTGCTATTAGTTGTTCCAGCAATTATATCTTTTATAACACCATCAAATATGCTAATGAAGAATAACAGAGATGAGTGGTTGTAAATGTCTGCTGTGAGTATATTAATGAGGTATTCTGTATATGATATAGTACTTTTGAGTATTTTGTGAGCATAAAACCCATCTTTCTTAATAGTGATTGCATTATTAAGTTCTTTATCCAGTTTTATGATTTCATTTGATATTCGTGCACATTCAAACTCCCTGCATTGCCTTATATTATCAACTAAAGTATTGCTTATAATATTGTACGGACTTCCTAAAGCAGTACAGGATATGAAATATTTAATAAAAGAAACATAGGGTAATACAAATATGATTATAAATTTATTGCACCAGTTTCTTTTCTAAGCTTTTCTTATAGAAAATCTTGTTCCTTAGTTTCTTAATATCATGAATTAGTTGATTCAAATACTCATTTTGTGTGTTCGCTTCTTTTTTCAATACCATCATTTCATTGTTAACTTGGGTCAGTCTTGTTGATAGCATCATTATGTACACGTTGATACAATGTATTTTGGCATATTTGATCTTTTCAAATTCATCCAATGTTTGATCGTATTCTTTTTGGTAGAATATTGTCATAAATTCAGGTATCTTCATTATCACTTTTCTTATCTCTAAATAATGTACCAGTATATCACCTATATCCTCACCATTCTTTTTCAATACAACTACTGCTTTCAGTACTTCTCCAAACAGCTGTATCACGTAAATCAGTTTTTCATGATTATCTTTTTCCTTCTTTATGCAAGTATGTAATTCCGTTAAATTTGCTATTTTGATAATCATGCTGTTTATGTTCTTTGCAGCAACCTTCCTATTCGCATCTAACACAACTTTTTCCGCATTAAGTGCCTCTAACTCATCACGGTTTCTCTTTAGTGCTGCACTTTTAAGACATTCCTGTTCCATTTTGGTGTCACCTGTACAATTCACTATAAGTAATGTTGATAATAAATTATACATGGGTTATAAAATAATTTATCTGTTACCTATTGATATTGCAACTGTATTTACTGTTTACATCTAAACAGATTTTCAAGTTTCTTTCTTCGACGTAACAAGTTAATGCCGATGGTCTTGTTTCTCCTTATTTTTATTGCTAGTGATGTGTTATTGCTGTTTAATCTGTCACCAACCAACCTAATGAAATCTATTTTCTGCTCTACTGTTACACTTAAGTCTTCTTTGATCTGTTCAATCCTTCTAACTACATCTTCTCGCACATTGTTAAATTGCAACAATATTCCATTATAATTATCACTATCAAATATTCTAGTAAATTCTGGTATTATTTGAATAATCTGTGCCTGCATGTTGAATTTTTCTATTAATTTCTTACTGATATTTGCATTATTGTATTCCTTGAGACACAATATAGATAATGTTTTCTCAAACGCCGATATCATCTGAATCAGTGCATTGTAATTCTCTTTCTCTACTTTAAACTTGCCTATTCTCCTATTTGTTTTAACAATCAGATTTGCGTCATTATCTATTAATTGCCTTAATTCTTTTATTTTCATTGCATTTTCTCTTTTCTCTTTTTCCAACTCTGTTATTTTCGTATTATGAAACTCATACAAGCTAACACCAGTACCTGTAGAACAATACAAGCAACTCATCATCATTAACATAAGGGTAAATATCAATAAAATAATTTATTTCCTATCATTTCTCACCTAAAGCCAATGCTATTTCAGACTGATTGAACCGTATTGCTGTTCTGGATCTTATTATAAACTCCTCTACTTGACACATAAAGACCTTGATTTTCTTATAGACTTCCTTCTTATTCTTATTGAATATTGAAATATTCATTAGCATACTTTTTGTCTTACACATTTCCTTCAATTCTGGTAGCATCTTTAGTACATTGATATAGTCTAAATATTGTCTTTCTCTCATCAATGGACGTTTCCTTGCATTTGATTCGTTCACAAACCAATCAAAATCACTCACCAAATTAGATAAACACGCAAGGTTCCTTGCATGGACCAATGCTGCATTTAGTTCAGACTGGTAGACCAAGGTCATTGCATTTAGTTCAACCACACGTTTATTATTCCAACTTCTCATCATTCTCTCATGTCCATAAACCGTTCTAGCACACCAACACATTTCAACCACCATTAAAACAGTTAATATCATTTTAGGGTAAATTTTATTACACCGATAAATCACTCGTATCAATTCCACTGCTTATTTCATCAATATTAATTGATACCTTGCTATTCTTCTTCACTTCTCTAGTTATACTACTGAATACTATTATTCCCATCACCATCTTATCAATATCAACTACATCATTCATAAATGATACCACTGGTGTCAACTCACTTTTTTCGTATTCATCAAAGAATGGCTTTCCCAATATAATCCATAGTTCCCATAGGACTAATGTGTTGTATGCGACGTAGGCTATTCCATACTTCTGGAATAACACAATGAAACAGAATATCACTATTGATACTTCCATAGTTAATATTCCATCTGATTCACTCATCATGAACAGTAATACGTGTGATAGTATTATACTGGATAGTATTGAATGAACATACTTGATCACACTATTAATATGATTATTGATGTACAGAATTATGGTAGTAGAAATCAGTGACAATATGACTGCTATTTTGATAGGTGTAACGTACTCTATGGTGTAATAGAATATGCTAAATATGCTGTACAGTAACAGATCATCAGAATAGATCAGTACTGCAATTAGGGTGATTATGACTAATTGGATGTAAATCAGCATTATAAACAATCAACACTGGTTTATTGACTATTTTGGTCATATTTCAATATCACCCCATTTACTGATATCTGGCTTTGATATTCCTTTTATACAAATATAGCACCAAATAGAATAAAGGTGTGATCAGTGTTAGTAGTATGAAATATTTCAGACTGTCTTCTCCCTCAAATGGCACTCTCACATTCATCCCAAATAATCCACTGATCGCCTGAATTGGTAGAAACAGAAATGTGATGAATGTGATGTATCCGATGCTATCGTTGAGTTTGTCTGTTTTCAGGGTGTATTTCACGTCCAAGTAGCCTATGAATGTCTGTCTGAAGGTGTCGATGCTCCTTTTAATGTTTTTGATATGTTTTCTGATTTGAGCCAATTTGATTCCAATTCTACTGCTGTTAGAGAGTTTAGTGGCCATTTTATTGAATATCTCATTCTTAGCAATCACTTCATTCTCAATATCGTAGACATCCTGCAGTATTCTGCTTGATTCTGAGGCATACCTGACGTATTGATCAATTCTATTGGTTCTGTGACTCCTCATGGATTCAATATGGTCTTGTTTGATGATTCTGATACCCTCCCACACCTTACTGATCCTAGCCAAATATTGATCAATCACAAGTGTGAATATCTGATCAATATTCTCAACACTATCATCAATGAGACCTATAAAAATGCTATTTTCCTGGTAACCAACCAGAACATCCTCATCAACGAGATCAATCCAAATGAACTCACCAAACACCCTTAGACGAATCTCACTTAAATCATTAGCAACCATTTCATGCTTCTCAATTTCACTGAATTCTCCAATGCATTTTGTTACAACCATAATTTGTTTGTTTAGGTTGTTTTATGTGTTTAGAAGTTGTTTGATTTAGTCTCGTAAAGCGAGATTGTATCCAATCATATCACACAACAGCCACAGAATAGCGAGTATATGCTCTGGGAGATCGTCTTCTTCTCCTTGCTTCGAATAATCTCACGCATCCTTTCGTAAATCCTGGGATTGTAGACTGTGGGAATCTCAACAATTTTAAGCAGATTCCTACGCCTCATTTGGCAGCTGCTGATGAATTTGTACAGTTCGTGCAACTTCCTGTCTTTGGTTAAGCTTGTTTTACTACCATTTATGACTTCTTCCATATATTTCATTTTTGTTTGACAAACTCGCATATTCGTGCTACTCTTGTGCTGTGAGTCTGCTGCTCTACTGCTCCCCACAACTTGTTTATTGTGCTCTTCCACGTCCTCAACCCTGCTCTCTTCCATCACGCTGCTTTCTACTATTTTCAGGTACTTTTCTTCCCAGGGCAGTTTCCCCTCGTACATCCAAATACAAACGTAAACAAGATTCTCCAGGTCGTCCAGAAAGCAAGGTGCCTTAGCTCGATGGCAATTTATCGAGCAGTATCGCAGGGTTCCAACGACTGAATTGTTCAGAATGGCTGATATTTTGATTGCTGAACCAAAATCAACCAATTTAAGGTTAGTTATGGAATTTTGGTTGCATGAATTCAGTAGAATATTCTCAGGCTTAATGTCCCTGTAAACGTATCCACTGCTGTGAATGTGCTCCAATGCATCCAGAACCATCTCGAATACCCTGAATATCCCCTGTGTCACCACTTTCCTGCTTCTTCTCATCAAATCCAGGCAACTTCCTCCTCCAAGCTCCATCATCAGGTACTCGTTCTTCTCGTAGCTCACTGCCCTAATAATCCCATGATGCCTTCTTATGCTCTCCAATGCCTCTATTTCCGCATTCAGGTACTCCACTGCCTTCCTACACTTTTTTGTCTTATCCTTTTCTGTTTCCCTAGGCACTTTCATGGCATAGAACTCATCGTCATTTCTGTCCTGTATTTTGTAGACCACTCCAAAACTCCCCTCTCCCAGCTTCTCTACCACCGTGTACCTGTTTCCATCCAATTCCCCTGAATCCGCCTTTGTTGAATTGTTTCTCATTTCTGTTGGGTGACTTGAAACAATCCCTTTTGGTCGATGACGCATGTTTTGCATTCCACTGGTTCAATTCCCGTCTCTCTCATTTTTATCTACCACTGCGCATAATCCACTTTCTATCCAACCTATTTCACCACTCTACTAAAACAGTTTCATTATTTACCCATGGATATCAATACCAATGAAACCACTCTACCACTGAATAAGGAGACTACCAGAATAACCCATTCCAACATTAGTGCAGTCGTAGGCCTAATGCACTGTCTAATCATGGGAATGGTATTCCAGTCTTCCACGACACTCGTAGAAGACAGCTTCATCAGAAATGCGGCCCTCTGCCTCTTCACGGCCGCCGTATTCGGAAACCTCCTTGCCACTCTCATCAAACTGGAGTGCACTGCCTCGTTCATCCTCATCGACAGCATTTTCAGCACCGTCACTGCTGCCAGAATCTACTTCAACTCAAAAATGACTCTTCTTCTGGTGGTGCTCCTTTTCACCCCGTATGGAGTTGCAATAGGCTACATGATGAATATCGTACCAGTCTACATCCTACAGACTGCTTCTGACAAGTACAGGGTCCTTCTGCTCAACTCAATTGGTGGCCTCGGAATTGTAGGCGGATTCATCCTCTTCAGAAATGCCCAGGATCTCATCTCACTAACTACCGCCTTTGGCCTCATTCTTGGAACCAGCCTCCTCTTTGGCCTCTTCATGGGCCTGGCTGGAAAGAGAGTCAGACTCAACACAGGCAGGAAGTTCGATCTAAGAAACCTCACTGACATCTTCTCCAATGGCCCCAACTCAGCCGCAATAATAATTCTAGCCATGGTCTCAAACAACTACGCTGGAATCAACTACATCGTCTTCAACAGCACGACCATCTTCAAGGACTCCAACGCCCTCCTCGTCTTCAACCTGGTCAACTTCTTTGCTCAGTTTGTGACGTATCTCGGATACCTCTGCACCTTCAAATTTGGTCGAAAGCAGCTGATGCTCTTTTCATCTGCTGCCTGCTTAGTTGGAAACCTGGCATTTCTGCTCTCTGACATCCGCTACCACCGCTACATCTCGTTCTTCTTCATCCTCAGCTACAATCTTGGACTAGGAAATATCCCATTTGTGCTGACTTGTGAGGTGTTTCCGCCTCATGTCCTGCAAGAAGGGTCAATGATTGGATCATCGGCCAACTTCCTGGGTGGTTTGCTCTTCTCTCTCACATTCTCTAGTACTGGTAAGACTGGATTTATTGTAAGCATGGTTTATCTAGCACTAAGTGGCCTATACTTTGCAGTATTCATGAAGGAAACAAAAGGGCAGAAAGAAGGAAAGTATCAATAAAGTGGTTACAGTAGTTAGTTAGGGTAGTTTAGTTATTGGAGTATGGTACAATTTACACCCCAATGTCCTCCACTTCCTGTTCTATTCAACGAATCAAATTCTGTAAAATTGACAAGGCAGCAGTGATTCCACGGAGACAGACCACTGGTGCGGCTGGATACGACCTCCATTCAATTGAGAACGTCTGCATTGGCCCACAGGAGTCAGTGATCATCAGAACGGGTCTCTTCATTCTACTACGCCCAGAAATATTTGGGATGATTTTCAGTAGAAGTGGCCTATCCTACAAGAACGGGATTGAAGTCAAGAACTCCTACGTAGTAGACAGGAAGGAGATCGTAATTACGGTAGTGAATAACACGAATATACCATTTGTAGTAGAAAGTGGAATGAGGGTAGCACAGTTGGTATTCATAAAGAAGGATGAGAGGAGATTTAATAGGGTAGGTAGCAGTTAGTAGGGTAGATAGTAAGACAGTAATTGGTAACACAGTATAGTTAAAACAGTAGTTTGTTTGCACCAAATTTACTACAGTCACTTCTCACCCTCTTTCGCGTACTCCTCTGATGCCTTCCTGACTTCTTCCTCTGTCTCACACCCTTCGTACCTGTCCAATCTCTCCTGATTCATCCTAAAGAACTCATCTCCGTAGCTGAATCCACCAAACACCTCTCTTGCCTCCTCCTTGTATCCCAAAATGAACAGTGCCCCAGCCAGTGCCTCTACGCAGTTCAACTTCCACGGTCTACCGTAGTTGATCGTATTCGATGCCACCAAGTACGGCAGTGTCCTGTGCAAGTGAATCGGAACCAGCCTACAGAACTTCCCAAAATCAAATTCCCTTATTCTGTTCCAGCTGCAATCAACCAGGCCAATTCCAACCAATTCCACCTTGTTCAAATCTCGCCTACTCAAAACTCGTTTTCCAATTGGAGAGAGAACAATCCCATTCCACCTTGTCTTCGTGCTCAGTGGCCTCACTCTCCCGTATTTGACCATCCTGTGCCCACTGCACTTGCGCATATCACACTCTCCAAATTCATAAATTATTCTGGTTGGCTTCATCCTCTTTATCACCCCATGCCAAAGGACTATTCAGTTGAAATTCCAATTGAGCTGGCCCATGAAATACAGTCGTTCATAACACACGTGAAGGCACACGAGTACTCAGAATGCACCAGAAAAGCAGATGGGAGCAGCACATTCAAGGACCTAATCAAGAAGTACAAGTACGAAATGGGACTCACGTACAAGTTGGAGTATCTGAAGACGTATGCTGATATAATGAAGATTGAGGCAGAGAAGGAGTACAAGAAGATGAAGGAGACCATTGCTAAGGACGAGTTGATCAGAATATGCGAGAGATTGAATGAGAAGGAGACACAATATGTTGACACAGAATAGGGTGGTAGTTAGTGTCGTAGTTAGTGTCGTAGATAGGGTGGTAGTTGGCTACATCCTTTCTCTCCTACTACTACTGTTATTACTATTACTACTACTATACTACTACCACTATACCAATTGTGTTATCAAATTATTTGGCCTAAAACACCCATGGATGATCTGATATTTTTGTATGAAAATCCAGAGAGACTGAATGATCTCATTGATGAATTCAGAGCCAAGAGAAGCTACGCAGATGAAATAACAGAGCTGAAGTCGATGATTGAGAAGGACGATGCCGAGAGAATGAGAATCATTTTCTACGTAAAAATTCTATCAAAATGTGTGGTGAAGAAGAGTGACGTGACTGAATTCCATTCAACTGTTCTTAGGGAAGTGGGAAGAAGAAACAGCATCAAGAACGGAATACTCGTTCTGAACATGATCAACAGCCTGGGAGAAGGAAGGGCGTTTGTGCCAGTGGTCTTTGAGGCACTGAAGCTGCTGGCTGCTGTCGTGGCAACCAGGCCCAAAGCACAAATCAGTAGAAAATTCAGCCTCGATCGAATCAAAATCACCAGTGATGACATGCAGAGTGTGGAGTTGCAGCTGTTTCTGGTTGAGGAGGCAATTGGTGTCATCAGACGAAGCATGTCAGCCCATTCCAAGAGCATCGGATTCCCAGAATTGGCTGAGGCCGTGAACAGGGAGTTGAGGAAGGCCAAAGTGGGGGACTTCAAGGAGGTTGTGGGAAGTCTGGTGAATCGGATTGAAAAAAGGAGACTGCTCATTCTGAAAGAGAGAGAAGAGGCATTTAGGAAGGAGGACGTGTTGGATGAGAACAAGGTGAGGGAGTTTGAGAAGAAGATTGGAAGTGTTGAAATGTAGGGCACTATGAGACCAATAAATAGGTTGCGTAATTGTCATTTATTGTGGCTACTTTCAGCTAGGAGCTGTCGTACTCATCCAGGTCATACGTCTCGTTGTCACTCTCACTAGAGCACTTCATTTCTTCTGCAACTTTAATCGACCTTTCTTCCATGTACGTCTCCTCCTTCTCCTCCATTCTCTTTAGTTCCAGCTTTATTTCGATCTTCTGTTCTGCGTATTTGGCATTCAAGATGTGAGATGCCGTAATATGCCTAGAAAGCATCCTTGATAGGTCACTCACCCTCTTCCTGCCTGGCTCCACCCTCTTTTCATCCTCTCTCTTCTTCCCAATTCCCTGTTCAATCTTCTTCACCATCTCCCTCACTTTGTTCCCATCACCATCTCCTTCTTCTTTCATTGGGGCTCTTCTAGAAGACTGAAACAGCCTCCTTTTTCTTCCAGAATCCATTTGGTGCAATTGGAATAGGGTCAATGATTCAAACCTAATTCAGCCCATTCTCATTCGTCACTTTCCTCCTTTTTGGTTTATTTTTGTTTTGCTGCCCTAGGCCATGAATGTCTTCCTTCAGTATCTGCATACAACACGCACCATGGAGATCAGGAGCAACGAGACGGTGGAAGACATCAAAGAGAGGGCAGCAGCCCTCTTCCAACTCCAACTGGCTGAAGTCGTCCTCTTCTACAGAAACAGAAGCCTGAATTCGGACTACAAGTGCTGTCACGAACTGGGAATAGAGGAGGGTGTCACAATTGTGGTTAAGCGTAACGTAAAGGTGGGAGAAGGAAGGAAGGAGAGCAGCATGCAGGAGATGCTCAAGAATCCAGCAATGAAGAACATGCTTAAGAACCCAAACACGCTCAAATCGATCAAGAAGATGTTTCTGGCCAACGAGGAGAACGAGGACGTGAAGACGAGCCAGCTGGGGGCGCTGCTGAACGAGGAGGGCATCGAGGACGAGTTGGAGAGGATGACTGAGAACACGGAGTACCTGAACAGCCAAATGAGGAACGCAGACCTGGCCATGGCGAAGCTGGAGAACATGCCAGGCGGAATGAACATGATGAGCTCGATGCTCAAGGACGTGGAGGACCCGCTGAAGCGCCTTCAAAGGAAGACGTACAATGCTGGGAGTGAGATGAGCACGAGACAGGAGTCATTTATACCAGGAAAAGTCAAGATGAATCCACACGTCCAGTACAGGAAGCAGAATGCAAGCATGATTGAGAAGGGGTTTGCTGATGGGCTAATGAACATAGATGCCCTGGTCAAGACTGGTGGAAATGAGTCACAGGCAATAGAGCTGGTTTTGGAGAAGTTGGATCAAGAGCAGTAACGAGTATTTTATAATGATAAAATTATCACTGATAATTTACTCAGAGATTGATCATGTTTCAATTTTGCCATCGAGCATCTGCTTCCTCTTTTCAGTCATCCTCAGTTCTCCGCCCTTAATGAATGCGTGACTCAGTAGCACATTTACGTCTGGTCTCCTACTAACATCACTGGTCAAACAGAGTGCCATGAAGTCCCTGATTGCGTACGAATAGTTCTTGTTGAACTCGTAGTTCCTGTAGAAGTCATCGTAGTCGTATGCGTCACACTTAGCCCCCTCGTACTCGCCTATACACTTGTCACCATCCTTCATCACCCCTAAGTCAGCCAGTATCATCCCAAACATGAATACGTCTGAGTGGGTTCCAGCACTTTTGGTGCTACGCTCTTCCTTGGTGCAGTACCTAATTGGCCTACCACTCTTCAACAACGTGGTGTGGTTCACACAGTCAGTCAATCGCGATATTTTGAATACAACTTTAGCACTAACGGAGTAGCCCGAAATAGATCCCGTATCTAAGTTCAGCAGTGCTATACCCAGCCTATGCAACTCACTTAGGCCACTCAAAACATCCCTCGCGTATCTCCTAATGAGATCTTCAGTCTCCTCATAATTTGTGCCCATTGCCCTAATAGCGGTCTTAAAGTGGTCTTCTGCTATTTCTGGTCCCATAATGAGAGTTTCAACGAAGTTGACCATTTTCACATTCGTCCTACTAAATTTCATCACCTTCATGACGTCTATCACGTTCTCATGTTTCAGTTTCGCTATTTTGTTGCTGATGGCCAGCAACTTCCTCCTGTTTGCAACACTCTTCTCTTCAGTGACCACTTTGATCCACACATCCCCAAAATTGTTGATGTACCTGATCGTGTTCCCTGACAGAATATGGAGGTTATTTGGCTTATCTCTGTGGCAATTCAATTTTTCCAAGTCTGTTGTTATCATGTCATCTACTAAGTTAAAGAATTTCCTGATCTTATCGTAGTTACTCTCACCAGGTAATTTCTTCTTCCCTCTCTTTTTTTGTTCCTTTTTTCTCATAAGTTGATCTATTTTATTCACATTTGGGTAATTGATCAGTTTTGTGGTATACGCACCTGGAAATGGTGTATTATAGATCACACTATTGTCTACCATCACAATAAAGTGTGGTGTAGGTATCGGTGTAGGCGTAGGTGTAGTATTTGTTTCTGATTGTGATTCCTTTGATCTAGTCTCAATTATATTCTGTGACTGAATTTTCGCATCATCATCCTTCATATTTCCTAGAGCCACTATCAGTCCCACTATTCCCCCTACAGCAAGTAGAACAACAACTCCCAATGCTATTTTGTGCTTATTTGATAATTTGCTTCCAATCTTGTTCATCGTAATTTATATTAAAGGGTGATAGAAAGAAAGGGGCGATGGAATGAAAGGGGCGATAGAAATAGTAGGGGTTGTAACCCAATTAAGTATAAAGGAGCAGGGGTGATTAATAGGGTGATTCTCCCTACAAACTCTCCCTAGTCCTGTTTCACTCCCATGTTTCATATCCACCTAAAACAGTCTCAATTCTCTCTCATATGATACTTCTATCACTCACACTATTCACCTACTGCACCACCAGTGGAATATTCACCAGTTTATTTGGAAATAGCCCACTGATCAGGTCACACATGAAGGAGTATCACAGTCTCAAGAACAAGGTACACAGCCACAACTCCAAGGCAAACAGGGAGAACAGGTCGATTCCAAACCACATGCTGACGGTAGAGAGGCCCAAGAAGGAGAGAGACTGTCGCAAGGCCAAAAACAGCCTCTATAAAATGAGGAGAAACGTGTTGAAGACGACTGAGAAGCTGGCTGATATCAACAGGGGAGTTAAGAGACAGCATGGGAGGATGAATAGGATGGACATGGGCAAGGATGACTCATCTGATGATTCGAGTGATAGTAGTTTGAGTAGTAGTGACGATAGGCGTGGCAGCAAGAGAGACGGTAAGTACGGTAGAAGACGTAGGAAATCAGGCAGGGGCTATGGTGGCAGTAGTTCAGGCTGTTCTGACTCGTCTCGAAGCAGTGACAGTTCAAGCAGTTCCAATTCAGTAACCAGGAAAATAGACAAAGTATCACATAGGTTCAAGGATAAAGCACGAGACGTAATGAAAATGAGAAGTGCAGCAAAACACTTATTTGGAATGAAGTAGAAGTAGAAGTAATAGCAGTAATATAATAGCTAACATAATATAATAGCTAACTCAATATAATAACTAATGTGTATATAATAATAACTAATGTACTATAATAATAACTACTATAATATACTCCCTATCCCATTCAGTGTACTGGTATCCTTAGTGATAGTGATATAATTGTAGTCAGAAACACGAATATTCCAATCAGAAATGATGCATATGACATCAGTGTCAGAAGAAGTGTCTTCTCAATATCAGCATGGAGGTAGTAGATTGCTGGGAGTATCAGTGACATGAAAGTGGAGGCAGTTGCGCCCACGATGGCGTAGAGAAAGCCAAGCCCAACCCCTGAGACTGCAATTGCGTACGTCCCCAGAATCATCACCGTCGTAACCACGTTTCCAATTGCTGCTGAATTCTTCCTCTTTTCGCCCCCAAAGTGGCCTACCAAATTCATGAAATACGTCTTCCCAGGCGCAAGCTGCAGCGGATACGACACGCCCATGACCACGACGTAGAGGACGTGGACAATCGACGCCAGCAGATCCTCGGGGTAGTTCATCAACACGTTGTCTCTGACGGTTGATCCGTAAATCAGGTAGTTTGATGCACCAAATGCCATGTAGAGGAAGAAGGCAGAGAGGGCCGTGACTGTGATCAGCCTCCTCATCCGCCTAAGCGAGTTGTCCTCCATCTCGGCGTAGACGTAGAAGATGTTCTGGTGGCAGGTGAAGGAGAAGACGAACTTGCCTAGGCCAGCGAGCCAGTAGACGGAAGGAGGCGTGTGGCCGTAGGAGAAGGAGGCGTCGACGGCAGGCAGCTCGTGGCTGTAGCGGTAGACGGAGGCAGCCACGACGAATGCGACTGCTACGACTCCAACAGCACTGGTGTACTTGAGGGTGTCCAATCTACGGGTGTAGCAGATTGGGGATATGAGGAGGACGTAGCAGCCGAGGCAGAAGGGCGGATAGGCCAGCAGGGGCGAGTCGTAGAAGGTGGCAAGCAGCTTCGGAAGGAGGCCGCCCACGATGACGACGTAGGAGGTGGCGACGCCAAAGCACTTGACGAAGACGGCCACGTCCACGAGGGTTCGGGCGTACGGGATCGAGTGGGCGGCAAGTAGCCCGAGATCGGCGCCACGGCCAACTTCCTGGCTGCAGAGCATCAGGAGGTAGAGGCCGGTTGAGGCACAGGCGCCAGCAACGAGGGCGAGAGCAACGGCAGTGGCCATTCCGTACGTCTTGAAGAGGTACGGGAAGTTCAGGACGCCGCTGCCGATGCTCGTCTTCAGCAGATTCACGTAGGCACTTGCAAGGGATTTCATGTTGTTTACGTCTGATTCCCAGGATTTGTTGGTTTGTTACAGAATGGTAACCAGAGGGGGAGTTATATATGTTGGTAAATAAGGGGGAGTTAGACATGTTGATAGTAACAGTGGTATTCAATTTACTACTACTCTTCTTATATCACTAACTGCCCTACTACTACTACTACTACACTTATTATTGCTACTATATTTAGTGCTACTACACTAATTGCTACTACTATTATTATTACTACCTACTACTATCTCATCCATGTTCTCCCTAACAATGACAATGACAATAACAATAACAATCACAATATTAAATCATCTTTCATTTATCACCTGCGCCAATCCTGGAATACCTCCTAGTGCCTACTACACGGATATGGTAGACAGCCACTACTGCACACTCTCAGTCCCAGTCGCACACTCCCATGAGATGACGTCATCATCAACTCCTATTTATCACAGTCTATTTTCACTAAGAATGAATTCGTCTACTGGAATCATTGGGAATGAGACGTACCATACTACGGTGGACGTAGGAGTGAGACTGGTCTACGAGGACGAGGATGACTGGTCTAGGATGCACAGGGGCATCAATGGAATGAGAATGAGGATGGATATTGAGAGAATAGTTCAGATTAATATTGATCAAATATTCCTGGGACTGCTTCAGAGGCCATTTGTTCAGAGTAGGGCAGAATACAGAATTAGTTCATCAGGAACACTATTCATCAGCAACATGGAGGTGAAGAATGAGATAGTGGTGCATATTAGGGGTAGAAGAGAGGTGGAAAAGGTGGATAAAATTGAAACAGGGGAAATAAGAATCATTCCATACACCAAGTACGATAAGAAGAATGACATGTTGGTGAATAGGAAGGTGGTAGAACGGCTGAATGAGTATTTGGAGTGGGTGAGTAAGTACGGATGTGAGGAACAAAGGGGTGATACCGTTTTAGGTGATAAATCAGAATACGAAAAGTATCAGGAAGAAATGACCAAAGTGTACGAAGAATACATGAGAGAGGTAGATGAGTGAATGAGGGTGTCACAAAACATCATATAGTAGAGTGAGTGACACTGAATATAGTTACATAATTCGTGGTAGTGCCCTTCTCTTACCTCTCTTACTTCCCTATCACTTCTTACTATTTTATCCCCTATGGACACCAATCTCAAACAAACTAGTCGGAACAAACTGCTTGAAACCAGAATGGAGAGCGTACTATCCCGTCTCCAGTCGTCAATAAACCACTCTTCCACCCTCATGAACGAGATAAACGAGACACTTGAGCAGATGATCGAGGAGAACAGGAAGACGGTGGAAATGTGCGAGATCTACGCCCTCTGGTCCACCAAAATGGCCTAGACCAACAATCTGCCCTAAATGGCCATTCTCTTCCTCTTTTAGAATCCTCTCAAATTTTACCCATGGCTACAGAAGCACGTAAAGTGATTTTTGACGATGACACAAACACGAAGACGGAGGAGCGAGAGACGACGTGGGAGGACTACGGGCTGAAGAAGGAGCTCGTGAAGGGGTGCTACGCCTTTGGCTTCGAGAGACCGAGCTTCATTCAGAAGAAGGCCGTCCCACACATTGCAAGAGGGGCGAACATCCGAGCCCAGTCGCAGAGTGGAACTGGGAAGACAGGCGCATTCTGCGTGGGCGCATTGCAGCGAATCGACGCGTCTGTCGCCGGGACGCAGTGCCTGGTGCTCGTTTCGACGAGGGAAATCGCCCGCCAAATCCACCACACTTTTGTGGGGCTGTCTGGCTACATGGGCATAAACACACTTCTTCTGACTGGCGGATGCCCCAGGGCAGATGACATCGATGCACTGGCAACCAGAACGAACCACGTGATTGTTGGGACGCCTGGGCGCATCTTCGACATGATGGACAACCAGCTGATCAAGGCGCAGTCGATTCGGATTCTGGTGCTCGACGAGGCCGACCTCCTCTGCAAGAACGAGTTCCTGGAGCAGATCCACTCGATCTACACGTTCCTGAAGCCGGAGCAGCTGCAGGTCCTCTTCTTCAGCGCCACCTACTCGCCAGAGGAGATCAAGACCATCTCGTACATCGTGAAGGAGGCAGTTGAGATCGACCTCAGAAATGACGAATACACCCTACAGGGAATCAAGCAGTACTTCATCAACCTGGGCAGCCCGTACGACTCCAAGTTTGGTGGCCGATTCAGTCTCGAGAAGAAGAAGATGGAGCTCTGTCTCAAGGTCCAGACGCTCATCAACGTCCTCAGGAGCCAGCCACTCGGCCAGATGATGATATTCGCAAGGAGGAAGGCAGACGCACAGGACGTGTTCAGGATGCTCGAGGACGAGAAGTTCCAGTGTGCCCTGATATCGAGTGACCTGAATCAGGAGCAGCGAAATGACGTCATATCGGAGTTCAAGAACGGGAAGAAGAGGATTCTGGTCACGTCCGACATCTGCAAGAGGGGGATTGACGTGCAGGGGCTCTCTGTCGTCATCTGTCTCGATGTCCCAGCCTACGACCAGAAGGAGGACTTCATTCACAGGGTGGGAAGAGCAGGTCGATACGGAAAGAGGGGAATTGCTCTACACATTCTGAATCAGTTTGAGTACGAGACACTGGCTAAGATAGCAGGTGACTATAGAACAGTTCTAGAGGAGTTGCCAAAGACATTCTCGTTCAGTGAATAGGATGGGTAGAGTGGATAGAGTGAGTAGGATGACTAGAGAGGTAAATTATTGTTGCTACTGTTTATAGTTGCTATTATTGTTACCACTGTTTATACTTGCTACTATAATTGTTACTACCCTAACTACTATTCTACCCTAACTACTATTCTACTCTAACTACCCCTACTACTGTTACTACCACCATACCCCCACAATGTCATCTTATAAAACTACTAACAAAATAAGCAAGGCACCTACATTTAAGTTGATAACCATTGGAATGACAAACGTGGGCAAATCGAGTATTCTACTCAAATTCACACGAGATGAGTTCAGCGAGTGCATCAGCAACACAGTTGGAATCGACAACCTCAACAAGGAGCTGCTGGTGGGCAGCAGACCAGTGGTGCTCCAACTGTGGGACACTGCTGGCCAAGAGAGATTCAATGCAATCGTAAGAAGCTACTACAGGGGAGTGGATGGGTTTGTGTTTGTGTTTGATGCATCTGAGAGCAGGTCGTACGAGTACGTGGTGGATAAGATGGATAGCACGCGAAAGGAGAACAAGGAGGTGCCATTTGGAATAATTGTAGCAAATAAAATAGACTTGGTTGAAGACAGGTTGGAACTAGAACAGAGACTGGATAGGCTAAGTAGTAAAACAGGGTATAAGCACTATATGACGAGTGCAAAGACAGGAGAGAATATCAGTAGGATGTTTGAGGAGTATGCAGCAGCAATATACGAGCACAAGAAGAACGAGAAGGAGCAGAAGGAGATATTGGACAAAATAAGTGTGACCAAAAAGGGAGGAAGAAGGGGATGTTGTTGAAATTGTGGGTAGGGTGGTAGGGTAGGTAGTGTGGGTAGAAATTATAAAAGAGGAGTATCACCACAGTTATTCTACCTGATTATTCTACTACAATAATAATAAGAATAAACAGTATAATAGAATTACTACTACTACAATACTCTAATTAGTGTAGTATTTATTACTACTACCCCTACTACCATTTTAGTAGTGAAATCACTCTTCTGCTACCTGTGTGAGAGATGGCCTTCTCTTGTTGCTTGTCTTCTTCACCTTGTTGATTGCGTAGGTGACTGAGATCGGCCTTCCATCAACAAGTGCACCGTTGTACTTCTGCTTGATCTGCGCCTGCTCGTCCTGGTCTGCGCACGTGATGAAGCAGAAATGGCCCTCCTTTCCTGGCTCGGTGATCTTCAGCCCAGAGAGCTTCTCCTTCAGGGAGTCAAAGCTCACCGTGCTTGGATATTTCACGTACAGCTTGTTCTCCGATACCACGGTCGTGTGCTGCTGCAGCGCATTCGATGGCGCGTAGAACGGATACAGCTCAGTCCCATCCAACTTGATGGCACTGTGGAGCGCCCTTGCCCTCTCGCACGCCTCTGGGTGCAGGAACTCAAGCAGGAAGTTGGCTGTCCCATAGTGCTTCGACGTGAATCGCTTCACCAGAATCAGGTCGTCCATCCTGTAGTTTGCGACGACGTCTGCGATGGTCACCGTCAGAGGCGCCTTGTTGATTCCAAGAATGCACGTCTTTCGCTCCTTCTTTGCCAAATCACTTGTTGCCATCTTGGGGTAAAATTTTGAAAAAGAGAAAGAGAGAGAAAGAATAAATTGGAGTAGGGGTTGTTGAAGCAGTGTCACTAACTACCACTACTACTAATTACTACCACCACTAACTCTAATTACTACCTCATCAATGTACCATATCCACCCATCCACTCCAACTAGAACTGTTTCACCTGAAAAACAGATTGAATCAATTCTGGATCCCAGATCACACCTGTTGATGATATTAAATTCATCATCAAAAATGACCAGAACAGTTCCATTTGCAACAACTGCAATGAGAGAGTGCTCGACAGAGAGGCAGCTGTGCAGAATGGGAGTGTGTGAAACGGGTATCACACTTTCTACCTGCCAGAATCCACCTGCTTTCCTAAACACCCTCATTGATCCATTTTGGAGAAATGCTACCATTTTGTCTCCTACAAACAGGGTGTTCCAGACTATGCTACCACAGTCTACAGAATCAACCAGTTCTATTTCGTCACCAGCGTACTCCTTCACCGTCCTATCGTACGACCACGAGTAGACTCTTCCACCCCACTTTCTGACTCCCTTGACGTCCTGGCTGTGATCATCGATGATTCTGGTCACCTCAAAGGAGCCATTTGATGCATCGAGCACCCAGACGACCTGGCCGCGAGTGGCCAGCAGCAGCTGCCCATCGCCAACGTAGCACGCCTTGATCTCAGTCTCAGGGCCCTCGACCGTGTCGTGGAACTCAACTGATCCATTTTTGATGAAGATCGTGGCAGTGCAATCGTAGGAGGCACAGACGAGGAATCGGCCACCAACTGAAACAGAACTAACCGTCTTATCGTGGCCACAGATCAGCTCCACCTTCTCACCAATTCGGTACAACTCTGATCCATATGCTCCATAAATCACCCCATCATCCACGACCAGTGCCCTGATTCTGTCGTAGAACTTCTTCCCACTTTTTGGTAGCTGAATTCTCCTACCAACTCGCATATCAGGCCAATTTTTTACATCTGCTTCTATTCGCACTCTTCTGCTCCAGAACCTCCTTCAGTCCGCTTCCAAGGGAGTTCCACTCCGTCCAGAGGCAGAAGATGGCAACAAAGTCGGCTACTCCAGCAAACAGAAATGTCAGGCTGAATTCAGTTATTCCGGTGTAGAATAGGGCAAGTCGAAAGGCGATGAATACGACCACAACGGCCATGTGGAGAACAAGGAGAACAAGGAGCAGTATCCTTCTCATCTGCTCCTCCAGGTCCAGCTTCCTGTTGAGGAGAGCAATCAGAATCCCATTCAACAGAACCAGAACAACCTCCATTGCCATGTTGTAGGTTTCGAGGTGTCTCCTATTCACGTGATACGACCTAAGTATTCGATTGAATCCATAGGGCGTATTATTGATCAGGGCAATGTAGGTGTAGATTGCAATGAAGAAGCAGAAGAGGACGCGGACGTTTAGGAGCCGCTCTCTTCTCTTGTACGCCTCGATGATTCGCACGTCACTCGTTCCCAATATGGTGATATTCGTGTCATTCTCCTTTCTCCTATGCATTTTTACTGATAGGTGGATTTCGTACAAAATGGTTAAAAGCAGCAGCACCAGCACGAAGTAGGGCGCCCTGATCTCAGACTGGCCGACCAGGGCAAGCACCTGGGCGCCCTTCAGGTACGTCAGGACGTAGAAGTAGATCAGCGAGTACGTGGCAGTGCAGTAGATTTGGATGTTCTCGTTCAGGGAGATGTGGACGATGTCGATGAAGAGGAGCAGGTTGAAGACCATGATCAGCGACACCTTGTGCTGGACAAGATACTTGTGATGGAACTGGATGTAGGCATCAGTTGAAAAGAGTATCACAAAATAGAGCACGTTTTTCATCATCAAAACTACTCCTTGTGATATGATATCCCTTCTAATCTCGCTTTTTATTCTAACAACCTGTCTCATGGGGTGTGCCAAACAAATGACATATCAGTTGGTAGGAATATTAATGTAGGCCATAACTACTATTAAATGGGTTTGATGAGACATTAATATGTTGAAATAGTAGGGTATTATGATAGGTGTGGTGGGAGATGTGATAATATCAAGGATAAGAGCAATAATTATGGTCATCAGTATCTTAGAAATTTGTAATTTAGGCAAGTTACTGATTATCAAATTAGTAATTTGATTGATAATACTGGTATAAAGGAGTAGTACGCAAGAAATGTATTACGCTAATGATTCTATTGCATTATACTGTATTATACTGCAGATATTTAACTATTTACATTGCTAACTATGCAATAACAAGAAAAGAAGGTGTATAAAATCAAGAAAATCACAATTTACTAAAATAAAAACTACATTTATAGCTAAATTTATCAATAATTATGTAAAATATAGAATAAATACCCAATTCAATCACAGCTCTCATTGCTTTCTACTGTCTTGTTTTCTAACCTGTCCATAAACTCCTTGATTTCACCAACTACGTGATCAGGTAATGTCAACATATTCACTTCAATCTCATCATTACCAACGTAACTGAAACTGCTGCAACTTCTCTGAATAATTTCAACAATCTTATCACTTTCTTCTCTTCCAACAGCCAATATCTTGTTTCCTAATGATTCCCTGATTTCAATTCCAAAAATCAGGTCATTTTCCAGTCTTTTTGCTTCCTCTAATGAATTCAATTTCATCATCAGGTCGCTTATCTTCTTCCTGAGTTCTTCAATTTCTGCATCAGGTCCCAATTCCTTTTTACTCAATTCTCTCTTAAATAACTTTTCAAACTCCACTCCCAGCCTGAATATTTCAGAATTCTCTGGATTGTACAGTTTACAGTTCTCAACAATCAGAATCAGGTCATTTTTGAATCCTTGCAAGTTCTCATATTCTCTACTGGTTAACTTTGATCGTATTCTACTCATATCCATAGGATTCTTAATTATTGCAGAGTATCCTGGTGCTTCTGCATCTGTAACAGGTTGTGTGAATGCCCATGTTGTCTTTTTGTATTTCGCCTTCTCTAATTCATTCAGGACACCATTGGCGAGTTCAAAGTCACTTTGAGACATTTTCACTGCTTTAATCTTATTCTTTAAGGTTGGTTTCTTGTTTTGTTCAACTTCTTCTTTTGTATTCTCAATTGCTTCATATGCATTTATGAAAGCCTTTTCTAATTCTACTCCCATCTGTCCAACTGGACTACTTTTTCCATTGTACAAATAGTAATTGTTGAATATCAGGTTCATATCTGTCTTAAACTGTTCATTTGATGTATAACTGTTATCAGCGAGTTTCTTTTTTATTGTTCCTAAATCCATTGGTTCTTTAATTTTTTCTGCATAATCTGGAATACCAAGTGCAACTGGATCTACTGGTTGTAGAAATGGACCAGCATTTGCATTGGCACGCATCTTTCTCATGATGTTGTTTAGTATTTTTGGATTATACTTTTCTTCAGTAATATTTTCACTATTCTCAACTGACATGGGTTTGTATTTTGTAGAATTAGTTGTATTGGAAAGTGTACATATTCTAAGTTCCTAAGAACAAATATCTACATGAGTAACACTGTTGCTCTATGAGATGTTCGTAACAAAATTAAATCAGGTCAATTTTATTTATAGTCAAATTTATTTTGAAGAGTGTTTTAGAATACCCCAAAATTATGCAACGAAGAAATGATGGAAGATATAACAGAAATGACTACAATCGACAGAATAAGACATGTTTAGATTGGATCAATGGAATATGCACTAGAACTAATTGTAAGTTCTTTCATCCGGAGACACATCCATATTATATTTATGCATCTAAAACAAATGACATTCATCCAGATGAATTACATATTGGATGCATGTATAACAATCTACAAGAACAAGCTGATGCTATTTGGGTTGATAATTACATTCAGCTCATTACAGAATACAAAAACAGCAGCAATTTCACAATTCCAAGTTATAGATCATTCTGTATTCCTTTTGATAGCAACAAAGTGTATGGGGAAATAAAACAGTTCCAGAGTGATATTAGAGGCAACTATAAAAGAGATAATAGAAGTAATAGGAATGATTTCAGTAGAAACAATTATAGCAGTCATGGTTATCAAGGTGGTCAGAATTATCAGAGAAATCAAAATGGGCAGAGTAGTCAGAATAGTCAGAGTAGTCAGAGAAATAACAATAATTATTCACCAAATACTGGTAACAACTACCGAAACAATTACAGGAACAATTCAAGTGATTTTCCAACTAATCAGAGACAGACAAATCATTCAAGAACCAATGATTCTGCTGAATATGAAGAATATAGAGTGCCATATGAATAATCAATCAATATAATATCCATCACAACATATTAATTCATGTAGAGGCAGAAAAATGAGTTAATAAGGTATGCATTTAGCTCCTGCTGAACAACTGTAAATAAATTATTCTTCTTCAAGTGAATAACTAATTCAAAAAGTGCTTTATAAAGACAATGATGTCATCTATTACTCTAACCAAAGTTATATCAGGAAATCATGCATGTCTATTTCTAGTTGATCAAATACTTCAATTGTATCTGAATTCAAAAGTAAATGTGGATCATCTTGACCTAAATAGTCTGGTGAGAATGCATACAGAATATTTTCAATTCCTGTTGCAAATATTCTTGGTATTTTAGGATGCATTACAGCTTGATTTACAATGCTATTGAATCCTATCAATTCCATTCTCATATTGTTCATAACGATGTTATCTTTAGTTTTTGAACATATTGTTCTACATATTCCATACGTGAATGCATCTTTCTCTATATTCATTTCTTCTGAACTACTCATTTCATGATCAAATGATTCAATCGACTTGTTCTTTATATTGAACAGATTCTTCCAACTTGGATCAGGTAGTATTTTCCAATAACACAATTTCTTATCATCAAACCCTCCTAAAACGTATTCATCATCAGGTCCACCAAATCTAAATGTTTTACCTGTTTTGTGATTATTTGGTTTGTTCTTTACGAATTTCATCTGTGCTTTGTTTCTTTTTGCAGAATACAATGAAGCAGTATCGAAACATTCTGATACCAGAAAATGTGTTCCTGCTTTATTCCACTCTACATTTGATATTCCAGCCAGAATATTTCTTGTAGAATATTTGTATATTGGAGTGTTATAATTCCTATGATCAAACATATTCAATTCATCAGTTCCATT